CTGGCAACATGGTGGAAACTCTAATCTCTAATGAAAATACAAAAAAACATACCAGTGTGGTCATAGGCGCCTGTAATCCAGTACTTGGAAGCTGAGGCAGGAGAATCGTGGAAACCTGGGGACGCCATAGGGTTCAGGAGTGAGATGTGTCCACTGCATTCAAGCCTGGTGGAAAGTGAAGATCCGTCTCAAAAAAAAAAGAACTTCAGACAATGTGTTTATCCTTACAGAGAAAGAAATAATTGTTGGGGTTTGGCCCGAAAGAACCTGGTAACTGTCCTTTTAAGACCTTAAAAAAATCATGTCTAAGAATTTACTGACATAGTACCTGACAACCCAACAGTCAGATCAGCATCCAGAGGACACCCCTGCCAGTGCTCTGTTGGCGTTGGGGCTTGGGTGAGACTCACGATGGCTTGGGTGAGAAACCAAAGGAAGTATAACTCTGCACTCATATGTCTTCAGCCTTATGAACTGGATGCTAGTTGATTTCATTTATTCTCTCTTCCCTGCACATTTCCATTTCCTCCAAGATAAAAGATGTGGTACCCCGAGGGGACGAGAAAGCCATGCAGCCTCACAAAGCTGGCATCCCTGGCACATTTGGCAGATGTCAGGGTTTTTTTTTTTTCTGACCACCAAATCCATGTGCTTTGAAGGAAGCAGCCACTCCGTAATAATTCTGGAACGTGGGAGGTAGTCCTCCCATTTTAGTATAATGAGAACTGTTTAGGACAGGTGAGTTAGTTGAGGGACTGACTCAAGACGAGGAAGCCTCCACTGCTTTGTCAGATAATTTCAAACTCTCAGGATCAGCCTGAGAGAGAGAAACTTTATGGGAGAAAAAGCAGCTCAGGTCTCAGACCTTCCACCTTGGGGGCCTAGGGCCAAGGCCTTGCAGGGAATACAGACTCTGGGGGAGGTTTGGAGAGTGTGGTTTGAACAGAGAGACCCCTCTAACTTCCTTGGGGTTCACTGGCTCTAGAAGCACCTGAAGGCTCCTGAATTGATCAATCCAGGGGCTCTCCAAGTCTCTGCAGCTGCCTGAGGGTCGAAGGGGCACGATTCCCTCTCTGCTATTTAAAAATTGGTGGAGTGGGCTGGGCACGGTGGCTCACGCCTATAATCCCAACACTTTGGGAGGCCAAGGCAGGTGGATCACTTGAGGTCAGGAGTTTGAGACTAGTCTGGCCAACGTGGCAAAACCCTGTCTCCACTGAAAATACAAAAATTAGCTGGCCAAGGTGGCAGGCACCTGTAATCCCAGCTACTTGGGAGGCTGAGGCAGGAGAATCGTTTGAACCTGGGAGGTGGAGGTTGCAGTGAGCAGAGATTGCGCCATTTCACTCCAGCCTGGGAGACAGAGCAAGATTCCATTTCAAAAAAAAAAAAAAAAAAAAAAAAAAAAAAAAAGGTGGAGTGCTTTTTTCTGACTCAACCCAAAGGGGATGCTCTGGGTCACACCTGGAAAGTTCGCTGTGATACGGGACTCCCCAGGCCCGGGGCCCAAACAGAATGAGCGTAGTTTATGAAACCAGGAAGCAAAGACTTCGCTTTCCTGAGGGCAGCTCCAGGAGGAACAGGAACAGCATGTTCCTTGTCTGCAGATAAACTCATTTGCATACTGGCAATTTTCATAACCACTTAAGTGCCAGAGTCAGGGGAGCAAGGCACAAGGTTTGATGACCAATCCACGCACACACCCAGGGCAGTACAAACGATGTGCAAAGAGTAGGTATCTGAGGGATTTTTCCTTAATCCATTCTGAAATAATCGTTAAATCATATTGGAAATGAATCTCGCAGGTTCTGGCGCGCGGTGGGGGCCCTCATTCCACATACCTGGTCTGTGGGTGTGTAGTCAACCAAACTGACGCTGTCGATTCTTTCCAGGAAGCTGCAAAGAAAGCCAGCAAGGGTTCAGGCCCGTTCTCAGGTCACTTTTTCCCGGGGTTGGGGGGAAATTAATGGGACATTTCACCCAAGTACAGCAAGCATGGGGCAGGCCAAGCAGCTGACCGGAGCTCTTACTTTGTTTCCTGAATTTGTATCAGTCTAGATAATGCAACATTCTTGGCCCAGGGACGGAGAACTGCATTCTTCTTTTTTTTTTTTTTAATGTTGCCTTCTCTCCCCTCTCTTCTCCACTGCCACAGGGCTGGGGGTGGGGGCTACTCAGAAACTGGGAGACAGCATGGAGCCTCCCTTCCAAGGCTAAGAATGTGTTGCAATGTAAACAAAACATGGAAGGTGATAGATGTTCCTTTAGTGTAGGTTCCTAATCAAATACAGTTGTGTGTGTGTGTGTGTATGACTGTGTGAACATGTGTAAGAGTGACTGAGTGTGGACAGCGAGTATGTGGTGTGCGAGAGGAAATGTGTAAAAGTGAGTGTAAGGGTGAGTGTGAGAGTATGTGTGGAAAGTGTGCGAGAGCGAGAATGTGAGTGTGTGTGTGTGAGTGTGTGTGCTGGCAAACCCGGCGACGCCTGTGGGTGTCAGATCTGCCCGGCGCCCTATGTGTCCCACACAAGGCAGGGCGAGAGTGTAGGAAAGCTGTGCACCGCTCTGGGGTGACGACCCTCTTCCAGGCCGTGTCTCCAGCTCTTCCGCTGGGAGGCCGCCGAGCTCCCTCTCCCGAGTGACCATGGCCCCTGCACAGGCCTCCCCCGCCCTCTCTGTGTCAGCCTGGCTTTACCAAGGCATCTATCCAGGCTGCCCGTTTCCCACTGAGTCTTGGTCGATCTGTTGTTATTTGTCTCCTCCACTAACATGCGATGCCCTCAGGGCAGGTTTCTGTCGTGTCCACCTGGGAGTCCCCAGCACCTAGTGCAGGACTGGCCCCAGTAAATATGGTGGAATGAACCAGTGTCCTCTGTCCCCTTCTCCTTCCGCGGCTGGGACAGGTGACCATTGAGCGCTGAGAGGCTGGGCCTCCCGGGGACGAACAAGCGCTGGGGATGGGTTAACTGGCGAGCAGAGGACAATTCTGGAGACAGGGGCAGCAGGGGCTCTAGAAGGAAGAAGGAGAGCGAGCAGGAGGGAGGGGTTGGGGCGGTTCAGGCTCTCTGTTGGCGCTGGCGTTGATGGGAGGCCCTGGTACTGAGGAGCTAGGATGGATGGCCTGGAGGCTGTGCTGGCTTGCTGCCTGCCATGCCAGTGGCTGGCTCTGTGTCTGGGTAGGTGGAGGCAGCAGCCATGTGCCCATGAGCGTTTCACGCAGCGGAGGGGATGCTGCCTCCCCACCTCCCCATCCTCCTGCACCAGCTCCTCTGCAGGCGCCGTGAACCTCAGTGTGGGCAAGAGGGAGACGAAAGGGTTCAGAATGCAGAACGCCACCCCAAAATGTGCCCTTCGGCATGTTGACTAACTGCAGCTGAAGGCACTTGGGAAGCCTCGGATGCAGGGCCGGTGGGCTGACCTCCCGCTCTGTCCCAAACAGCGGGTCAGGAAATTTCCCATAAGAAACGTCTGCCCTGGGCCAGGAAGAGGAGAAGGTTCGTATCACCGGGGGCTGGGAGTCCACCCCGAACCGGATCTGTACAAACCCACCAAAATAACCCTCGTCTTTCACTAGTCACTGCCCCCCAATGACTGCCCCTAGAAAACTGAACCTTTCTCCTTTGTCACTTCTCCATACGTTTATCATCTTTTGTTAAAAGGGTATATTAGCTCTCAGTCCCGACGGCTTCTTTGGGTCTTCATTTTTCTTATGAAAGTTCCTGTGTGCATGTAAAAATGTTAAATAAAATGTGTATGCTTTCCCCCGGTTAATCCGTCTTTGTTGGTTCACTCAGCTACAGAACCTAATGGGAAGAGGGAAGCTCTTTTTCCTTCCCTACAAAGGTCAAAAGGGGTCCATTTTAGGAACCACTTGGCCAAAGACAGTAAGACTGCGTCATTTCCTTG